GGTATAATTAGTATATAATTAAGAATATATTAGTGAAAATAATTATCCTATATTATAAATAATTATAATTAAGATTAAGATAACTAATTAGTTTAATTAAAATTAAAAAACTAAAATAAAAAAATTTAAAATGAGATTAAAGTGTGTAATCATTTTCCAAAAAATGAAAGTGACATGGTATGTGGGATGGACAGAAACAGCAATATAGATATGATATCTGGGACAGATGGAGTATTATTATTATTATAATTAGGTTCAGTGTAAGGACATATCACATCAGCTATGAGACTAGGTCAAATTGATTGATACAAAAGAAATTAAAAGTTAGAAAAGAATTTGTAACAAGAAATACTCCCTCCGTTCCATTCCATGAAATATTGGTGTATTACGGTGGACACGAGAATTTTGGTAAAATATAATTAGTAAGTAATTAAGAAGTATATTAGTAAAAAAATTATTATTTAGTAAAAAATAATTATAGATTAAGATTAAGATAACTAATTAATTTAATTAAAATAAAAAAAATTATAAAATTTAAAATGCGATTAAAGTGCATAATTATATTTTCAAAAATAAAAAAGACAAATTAGTGGAACGAACAAAAATAAAAAATAAGAATAAATTACGTGGAATGGATTATTTGTAAGAGAAATATATGGGAATTGAATAGTATTTGTCCGTCTGTTGACAGCTTATAGTGAAAGTGATATGTGCCGCTCTCGCTCTGCCCTTAAATAAATGACCAGACGACTTATGACTCTCTCTCCAACACACTCATTAATTAAATTAAATAATAAATTAACTTTAATGACGACCTAACCCAGCTTCTCATTCATTTGCTTAAATGATTGGTCGCCTCTCTCTCCCTCTCTCTTTTTATCTAGCCGCCTTTTAATAGTGTGTTTGTTTGGGAGATTTTTTAAAATTTTTATTATTTATAAAAAAAAAAAAAAAATTATTTTAAAAAAATATCAAATTAAATAATTATTTTTTTATATTCTTTCGGTTTTATAATAAAGTATTCATTTCTCTTTTTAGTAACTATACTATCTACCTAACGTTACAAATATCCTTATAATTTACAATATATTACACAAATGTCATTACCTTTGTATTACACATACTAATAAGGTTATTTTAGTCATTTCTATTTTGTTCTTACTAAATCTCAATATAATAATAATATTTCTAAAAACTACGTGTAAAAAATAAATGAATATCTAGTTATAGAACGGATGGAGTATTATATTAAAAATTAATTTTTAATTTACAGGGTATTAGATTCGGTCGGAAGTTTACTCTGTGTGCACGCTTCTTCGTATCTAATACTTTCTTCGGTTGAAAGAGTTAAAATTTTTATTTCATTATATTTAATATTAAAAATATTTTTATAATTTAAATTTTTTTTATACAAATATTATTGTATCCTAATAAAAATATATTTATTTTAATTTATATTTATATTTTGATATAATAATTAATATTTAAATATAATTATGAAAAAATTAAATATAACTCTTTTAATAAAAAGAAAAAGTGTATAAAAAATATCATAAACTAAAATTATTAAAAAACACAGCATGTATTTCATTTCAAGGGGCTTGAAAAGAAGAGAATGAATAGGGTAAGATAAGTTTTCAGTAATGTGAGAATATAAGTATTGTTGGTGTTTTTTTGGGTGTGTTTATTTGGGCGATTTGATTTGTTTTTCATTATTTACAATTTTTTTTTTTTTTTTATTTTGAGTGTCCCATTCAATTACTATTCCATTCGTTTCAAAAGTATAATTTTACTGCATTGTGCACGAGATTTAAGAAATATTATATTGGTAATTGGTAAAAAGTAAAGATAAATGACTTTTTTGCCCCTGTAAGTATATTAGTGTAAAAAGTAGTGGCAATTGTGTAATAATAATGAAAAAATAAGGATAGTTTACGGTGATATGATTATTTATAGAAATTAGACTATTATTTTGGATCGAACAAAAATGATAAACAAGTCTATTGTATTGAGACCGATAAAATAATGATGAAATATTATTCTTTATGAAAGACAAAACTTAACAAATTCATTAATAATTAAATCTCAATTAATTCAAATAAATCTATTTAAGATGTTTTTGTTTGATTTTTTTTTTTTTTTTTTTGAGTATTTTTATGTTAGTATGTAATAATATTTTATATTAAAATATTGACTTTTTATGTGTGTAAAATATATAGGGTAAACTGTTTTTTTAATTTCCGTAACTAAATCCCTTTATTATTTTAGTCTCGTAAATGGAGCCTATCACAAACTAGTCTAATAAGTGAAAAATTTTCGTTGTTTTAGTCTTCCGGTGCCGGAGACGTCCGCGTGGCTCGCCGAAGGCCATGTGTTCACCAGGTCAGCGACACCCGCCGGACACGTGGATTTTATTTTTTTATTTTTTTAATTTTTAATTTTATTTGCCTTTTTTTAATTTTTTTTATTTGGTCCAATTAAAAAAATAAAAAATAAATAAATAAATAAAATCCACGTGTCCGCCAAGTGTCGTTGATCTGGCGGACACGTGGCCTCCGGCGAACCACGCGGGCGTCTCCATCGCTGGAGGATTAAAACAACGAAAATTTTCTACTTATGAGACTAATTTGCGATAAACTCCACTTACGGAACTAAAATGATAAAAGTGTCCGATTACAAGACTAAAAAAACAGTTTACCCAAATATATATTATATATTATGTTAATGTGTGTTATATTGTATTTTTTATAATATTAATTGTGAAACATACTAGAAGTATTTTGTTGGGTGAACACATAAAAAAAAATTTTACTCATAATTTTTTCAACAATTTATTTTTAATTAGAGGTAAAAGAAAACTATCGAGTTTTTCTAAATATCATGCATATCATATTGGAAAGATACCAAAAATTTCAAACTTTTGACTAATTAAAAATTTTGAAACGATATGATATTATACTCAATTTTAAAATAGTAAATGATGTTTTATAAAATAAACAATTTATTTTTATTGAGAGTCATTCGAAATTGAATATCAATATTAAAAAAATTATAATAATAATAAAAGAAAAAAAAAGAAAACAATCAAACAAAAGTTTAAATTCTCTAGTTCAAATAAAAATATATATATATATATATATTCTCATTTTTCTATTCAAACGCACAAGTGTTTGCAAATTTATACATATTATTTTTTATTTTACAATTCAATATATTATTAATTATTTTATTAATGTATAAAAAATATTTCATGTAAATTTTAGTAAAAAAATCAGGGTAAAACTGTAAAAAAAAATCATATGTGAATTTACGAAATTGCACTGAATTTTCCGTACTTCCAAAATTTCCTTAAATTTCCTCATAATTTTATAAACTATGCGTCTAATCTTTTAATTTCAGCCGTTCTTATTGGTCTACATGCGTTCAAACTGCGAATAAATTTTAAATTTCTATTTTTAAACTCTGAAATTACAAATATATTAGTTCTTCTTATATTTAGCCTCAAGAAACAATAATAAAAAAAAATTCTAAAATCAGAAAAAAGTAAATATTGTATGTTTATATTGTTATTTGAGATTAAATATAAGAAGAATTAGTATATATGTGATTTTAATAGTTTAAAAATGGAAAAACGAATTCACAGTTTGAATACGTGTATGTCAAAATATCGTTAAATAAGAACAACGGATGGAATTAAACGCAGTTTTGGAAGTATAAAGAATTTGACGGCTTTTTATTATTAAACACAAAATGCTTGAATTTATATATTGTGATGGCCATAGTTGACATATTGGTTTTCGTATAGGATAGCCACTAATTTATAATATACCTTTTAGAATTAAATAAATAAAGGCATACAACTTGAAGTGAACTAAATAAAATAGTATTTTCTTAAAGTTAATTTTATTTTTTAGTTTTAGTTTGTTTAAATGATAATTTCATTTTATGTGAAAATATGTTGAAACTTTGGGCACAAATTTTAATATGGATACTACTTTTAATTATTTTTTTATTTTTTATAGTAAATAAATTTATAAAACGTAGTGTCATATTTTACTAAAGAAAAAGAAACCAAAATATTTTTAGATGACGGACCAGTGATAGATAAAGTAATTTGAATATAATATATTGTAAAAAGAAATAATATATATTTTAAAATAATTAAAATTAAATTTCGAATGAACACAATTATATTTAATTTTGTATTTTAATTTTGATTTTTGGTTCAATGAATTAAAGATGATATTTTGTCAAATAACAAAATATATAAATTTTTTTGGATCATTATATTTAATATTAAAAATATTTGTATATTTATATAATTTATTCCCTTTATATTATTGCATTTGTATTATAAGAAACTAATATGATATTTTTTATTTTTTTTGTTTAAGTAGTTATTAAAATGAGATATTTTATATTTTAGCTTCAAGTTTTGATTGATTCGATATGTGTATTTTAATTTTTTTTTAATGAAGCTATTTAAATAATACTGTATCTAACAAAAATGGTTTGCTTCAATTGTTCTTTTTTTATTTATTAAATATGAGAATATATTAAGGGTGTATTTTTATTTTTTTTTTAAGTTTAAGAAAAATTGTTTTGAATTTAATATTAAAATAATATTCATTATAATATTTCATAAGAGAAAAAAAATGTATTTTTTTAAAAGAAATAAATACATAATCTAAATAATAAAATTTGAGTATTTTTATTCTAATCGAATCTCAACTTATTAGTTGAATTTGTTTGTCCGCCGTAGATTTGGTCACAGTGATATCTTTTACTTTCTTGAAAATGAAAAGTTAAAACACAAAAATAACATGTATTTTTCGTGAGTCAAACAAGATGAGGGCTGCATTAGTTGAACAATAATTTTCAGTTTATCAAAATCAAGAATCAAGATATCAATATTTAAATAAATAAATAAATAAATTATGGCCATCTTAATCTTCTTGATTTCACAGCAGTGCAGTGCAGTGCACACGATTGCACGTCTTCTCTCACTACTACTACTACTACTACTACTACTACTACTACTACTTTCTCTCTCTTAAAAAAAACAATGAATGTGAAGCCAGCCATCCATTAATCCAGAAAGAAACCGTTGCTGATAATCGATAAAACCAACCCTTCTCCTCAAATTCAATTCAATGGTAACAATTAATATTTGGAGACGACAATATTGTAATAATAGAATAGATATCTGAAATCTCACTTGCCTTCCTTCTTCATTGGTTTCTCAATAGAATAGATATAGAATACTCTCTCTTTACTCTTTTTCTTTTTTATTCTTTTGCAGTGCCCCAGCCCAGCCAAGCCAAGCCTTGTAATATTCATTCTGGTCTGGATTCCCTTCCAAGTGCCAACCTTTCCTTATCAGCTTTCTGGTTATTTGCATTTGCACCACGTCTCTACCTTTTTTCTTAATTTCTCTGGGAGGGAGGTTGTTGACCTGCTTCTGCTGCTGCTTTGAAACACATTTAGGTAAATACATACATACATATTTACACTCTACCTCTATATACAATAATAAAATAATAATAATAATACTATCCATTTTCTTGGTGTGGGAGTATATTTATTTGTAATGTGTGTCAGGGGTATGTGCTTTCTTGAACTTTCTTTACTGGAGTAGGTTCTTTCGTTTCGGTTTCGTGTAATGCTGAAATTCTTGAATTCTTTGTGAGAGACTGTGATGGATCTTGAAACAGGGGTGGGTTATCAGAGCCAAGTTCATAAGGTGAGAAATTCAAAGGCTTCGATTCGATTCCATTCGATTAGGGTTTGTAAAAATTTGAAAATTGGATTTGTTGGTTTTGCAGAAGGAATGTTGGCGGACAATTTTCACGTTGGCTTATCAGAGCTTGGGGGTTGTCTATGGCGATTTGAGCACCTCCCCATTGTATGTTTACAAGAACACTTTCGCAGAAGACATCAAGCACTCTGATACGAATGAGGAGATTTATGGGGTTTTGTCGCTTGTGTTCTGGACTCTCACCTTAGTCCCTCTTCTCAAGTATGTCTTCGTTGTTCTTAGAGCAGATGACAATGGCGAAGGGGGCACATTCGCCCTCTATTCCCTCCTCTGCAGACACGCCAGAGTCAACTCCTTGCCCAGTTGCCAGCTGGCCGACGAGGATTTATCCAGTTACAAAACCTCCACCATACCTCCTGCAAATGGCGGTGCCTCCTCCAGGCTCAAATCCATTCTGGAAAAGCATCAAGTTCTGCAGAGATTCCTTCTCCTCTTGGCCTTGCTCGGCGCTTGTATGGTCATTGGCGATGGGATTCTCACCCCGGCCATCTCCGGTACCCTACCCTACCCTATTAAAGAAATTAAAAAAATTCAACTCATTCATGGCTGTTTCTATTTTTGCAGTGTTTTCTGCAGTTTCGGGCGTGGAGCTTGCGATGGAGAAGGAGCATCACAAATGTAAGTGATTTGAGGAATTAGGGATTTGATTTGATTGATCCATTTGATTGGTTGTTAATGAAGGGATGATCTGAATGTTGGGCAGACGTGGAAGTGCCGGTGGCGTGCGTGATACTAATGGCGTTGTTTGCTGTTCAGCACTACGGCACCCACAGGCTGGGATTCCTGTTCGCGCCGGTGGTCTTGACATGGCTCCTCTGCATCAGCGCTATCGGCGTCTACAACATCTTCCATTGGGATCCCCATGTCTACCGAGCTCTATCCCCTCTTTACATCTACAGATTCCTCAGAAAAACTCAGAGGGAAGGCTGGATGTCGTTGGGAGGAATCTTGCTCTGCATTACAGGTTTGTTTAGGTTAAGATTAAGATATGTCGACTTACTGCTTACTAATAATAGTTTTAGTTGTAGTTGTAGTAGTGTTGTTCTTACCAACATTATTCTATTTCTGCAACACAACACAGGCTTGCTTTGCTTCATTCTATTTTCCAGGTTCCGAAGCAATGTTTGCTGATCTCGGCCACTTCTCACAGTTGTCTATTAAGGTAGGATAACTCTGCTCTGTTGTTCTACTCGTTTCGCCATTGTTATTAATTTATGCGACTTATTACACATTTATTACATTCAGGTAGCGTTCACGGCCGTAGTTTATCCGGCGCTGATCCTCGCGTACATGGGCCAGGCTGCCTATCTTTCTCAGCACCACAATTTCGAAACCGACTACAATGTCGGATTTTACGTCTCTGTACCCAGTCAGTACTTGCTCGCTCTTCTCGGAATGTTTTAGAGCATTTCGTAAAACATAATAATGTTGTTTCTTCTTTCAGAAAAATTGAGATGGCCGGTGATGGTGATCGCAATCCTCGCCGCAGTCGTAGGAAGTCAAGCCGTGATCACGGGGACTTTCTCCATCATCAAGCAATGCTCGGCCCTCGGCTGCTTCCCGCGCATCAAAATTGTCCACACCTCGTCTAAATACCACGGCCAGATATACATCCCGGAGATCAACTGGGCTCTCATGATCCTCTGCTTATCTGTCCTTCTCGGTTTCAGAGACACCAGACGCCTCGGCAATGCCTCCGGTAATTCATCTATATAAACATTTCTAACAAGAAACAATATCTATCTATATATATATGTTAAATGACTTGATTGTGTTTGTGCATTTAGGTCTCGCCGTAATAACGGTGATGCTGGTGACGACATGTCTAATGTCGCTCGTGATGGTTGTGTGCTGGCGCCAGAACATAATCCTCGCGATCCTCTTCGTTGTGTTCTTTGGGGCAATCGAAGCGATGTATTTCTCAGCATCCCTGATCAAATTTCTCGAAGGCGCGTGGGTTCCCGTTGCTCTCTCGCTAACGTTCATGATGGTTATGTGCATTTGGCACTATGGGACCGTCAAGACCTACGAGTTCGATGTCCAAAACAAGGTCTCCGTCGACTGGCTCCTCGGACTCGGCCCCAGCCTCGGCATTGTGCGCGTCCGCGGCATCGGTCTCATACACACCGACCTCGTGACGGGAATACCCGCAATCTTCTCCCACTTCGTCACCAATCTCCCCGCCTTCCACCAAGTCCTCGTCTTCCTCTGCGTCAAGTCGGTCCCCGTCCCGCACGTCAGGCACGACGAGCGCTTCCTCGTCGGCCACATCGGGCCGCGGGAGTACCGCATATACCGATGCATCGTCCGCTACGGCTACCGCGACGCGCACAAGGACGATCTCCAATTCGAGAACGATTTGGTGTGCAGCATCGCCGAGTTCATACGGACCGAGGTGAACTGCGTCGATCGCAGCGGCCTGTCGCCGCAGAGCGAGGAAATGTTTGTTGTCGGGACGCCGTCGACCCATGCAGATGGGATTAAGGTGTGCAACGAGGACGGGATGAATCCGGACGCCCCTAGCACATCGGAAATACGGTCTCCAGCAGCGGCGGCGCGGAAACGGGTGCGGTTTGTGATCCCGGAGAAGGCGGAGATGGAGAAGGGGAAGAAGGAGGAGCTCCGGGAGCTGATGGAGGCACGTGAGGCGGGCGTGGCGTACATGTTGGGGCACTCGTATGTTAGGGCGAAGCAAGGGTCGAGCTTGGTGAAGAAAGTGGTCATCGATTTTGGGTATGATTTTTTGAGGAGGAATTGCAGGTCTCCGTCCTATGCTTGGACTCTGCCTCACGCTTCCACTCTTGAAGTGGGGATGGTGTACAGTATATAATAGTACATACTTACTATCGTATAAATATATATATATAATGTAGACTAGGCTGGCACACCATTATACATACTGTAACTCACTCAACTCAGCTCAGCTCAAATCTTTCTTGTATTAGTTTTGATGTGCTCTGCTCTGTAATTAGAATTAGAAGAAGATCGATCGTGTACATAAGAACGAGAAACACGAAGAAGACGACCACGGTGATGATGATGATATGATTGATGGGTATAGAATTCAACAATCTACGGTGCCGATCATTTCTGGGAATTCAATCCTCTAAAACTGCATACGGTATTTTTATTCGGAAACGCAGAATCGGAGACGGAAAGCAGAGCGGCAAACCAATTGGACTTGCACCTGGCCTTTTATTTTTATTTTCTTTTTCTATGGGCCCTTTTATTATTATTATTTTCTAATAATATGGAAATCTTGGCAGTGGCTACTCGTTAAGCACGTTCCGGATAAATTCCAAATTAAACATAATAATTTGCAAACTAAGTTCCATAAGACAAGTTACACTAGACGAACTATGTGTGTTAGGTAGACCTGAAGGGGTCAGGAGTCTGAATGTGATCATAATAGCCTGTAAACTAAACTGACAAGACAAATCACTAAACTGACAAGACAGATCACACTAACCTCACAGTCACGAGTTTATTTACACACCACAAAGTCATCCTTTACGCAATTTGGCCCTTTTATTCTTGTTTCCTATGGCTATAATACTAATAATAATTGTTCCAAACTAACCAAATCCAACAAACAATAAGGACAGAACCTCAACACTCCAATATGAACTCGATTAAGCACAGAGAGTTTGTAATCAGACCAGACAACGTAAACACACTGAAAGCAGTAAAATCAAAATACAAATACCAGTTGTTAACCAATTCGGTCATTAATGACTTACATTTGGGAGATTCCAACCCAGGCTCATCTCAACTATGAAATGAATAGTTCGTGCTTATAGTAATACACTCTACAATGTTTAGCACACATAAATTCCAAAAACTTTAAACTCTCAAATTTCGTGTTTGCCTCACATCACACACACTGTATCACTCACCGAGCCCTATTTTCTTCCTTATCAGAGCACAGCCACTCAGTACTTTTATCACACCATTATATTCAACAACCTCACCTTCCATCTCTCCTCGATTGTATATCTCACTTTGTTTATTGTAACAGAATTGCGAATCTATCACCGTTACACACAGATAGGAGACCAGTTTAAGTTTTTTTTTTTTTTTTCCTTAGTAACATATTGAATATTTTCATATTGGGCCACATTTAAGGCATCAAGCCTAACCTCAATTGGGCTTTACAGAATCACTGGTTAATTGACCTTCCTGCAGACAATCATCAGCCAAAACTAAAAATCATATTAACTATTAACAATAATAGCAATAACAATAATAATGGTATTCTTACGGTCATTCCTACAAAGTAAATAAACAATAAAAAAAAAACGAAAATAAATTTGAGTAACAATAAAAAAATAAAATAAATTTGAATGATAAAACTTTTTATTATATATATTATTTATATTTAATTAAAAAAACTTCTGAAATTTCGAGCCTTTATTATATGCATTATTTTTTTAATTAAAAAAATTATCTCAAAATCTAGTCTCTACTTTATAATACTTTATTTATATTTAATTAATTAAAAAGTTTTGAAATTTTCAAAATTTTATTATATAATATTTATATTTAATTAATTAAATAGTTTTGAAATTTTTAAAATTTGTTATATATAAATATTAATATTTTTAATAAAATAGGTTAAAAAATTACTGAAACTTTAGTATATATATTATTTATATTCAAATAATTAAATAATTTCAAAAATTTTAAACCTTTATATATATATATATTATTTTTTTAATAACATAAGTTCAAAAATTTTCGAACCTATTAAATAATTCAAAATTTTCCACCAAACAAACGGGCACAACACATTTTTCTTCTACTCCTCTTCCAGCGGTGTTGGCAGCAGCAGCTCCTCCTCCTTTTTCCTTATTTTCTTTTTTGGCGGCCGCAGGGCAGTGGAGGCGGGGGGGCGGCAGCAGCATCTGGTTTCCGGCAAAAACATTAGATATTTATTTATTTTTTTAAAAAAAACTTTAATAATTGTTTTGAAAATTTCGAGCCAAAAAAATGGTAACCCACGACGCCCTATATTGTCTGCAACGATTGGGGTCTCAAAAATTTCGAAATTATTTTAAATAGCTTTGAAATTTTCGAGACCACTCAAATGACAATAAGTTTTAATTTTCCAACACCAATCTGAAACAAATTTCGAGGCCATTTTTTGAGATCAATAGCATTTCTTTTTAATAGTGTTATTTATTATTATTATAAAATATCATTACTTTTATACAAATACGTCAAGAGTATTTTTATCTTTTTAATATCAATTTTATATCACTTTCACTATAATATTATTATTTTTTAAAATATGCCTGCAACCCCATCTAGCCTAACCCCAAAGAGCCTATTCGGACAGGAAAGAATATATACTAGTATTATTTATTATTTGTTGGTAATCTTTGATTTTATTTAGTATGTTATATATTATTAATTTAATATTATTTTATTTTAAGGTTGTCTTATCTCGAGAGTAAATCGACATTATGAACGTACGAAAAGATAGTTTGTCCACTTTATATTTTTGGATGAATTTTTTTTTTTAATTTTTTATATTAAGTATGTGGCATTGTATCAATTACATAAAAGATATTTCTTCCGTTGTTCAAAATCTATGCTTATTTTTTTTAATTGTCATCAAAAAATATTTTTGTTTTTTCTAAATAAAAGATCATTACACTTTTATATTTTTTTTACTATAAAAAAATAACAATTATTATTCAATTTTATTAAAATTCATGTTCGATTAAATGAGCACACATTTGCGTAACGAATGTAATAATATTTATATTGAAAAATTGATTTTTGCGAGTAAATAAAAAATATGTAAATATATTGAGTTAATATATTTATATATTGTGTTTTTAAAATAATATTTACGTAGAATTTGTCATTTAAAAACATAATATAAACAAATCCATTATGACCCACAGAAGCATGCTAATATTCCTAAGTGATTTCGGGTAGCTCTAAAGATGTAAAATCAAATATTATTTCCATCAATTTATAAAATATACATATTTCTATTTTAAACTATTCAATTACAAAGTAAATATTTTAAAAATACCTTATTTTTAAGAAAAAAAAAAACAATAATACTTAATTCCAAGAAAGAGTTTAGGGTGGAAGTGGAGGCCATTGGCCATGTTGGGCATAAGAATCTTTGTTCAGCTTCTTGATTATTGCATTGAAGGGGTTCACAGGTGAGTCGACTACAAGATTATACTTTAAGCCCACTTTGATTAGATTTTATGCACTACTCAAGTTCCAATTTGTTTCCTCTTTTCCTTCACCTCTGGGTTTTGTGGTCTTCATTGATATATTAGTTTGTGTTTTCTATTACCTGAACTTTCATTACTTTAATGTCGAAGGATGTTGGTGTACGAGCAAGTATGTAAAGAGACAGCAATGCATCTTGCTGAAAGTTCTACTCGGGACTGCAAAGGTGTAAAAATAGTTTTCTAACTGATGAGCACTTCGACTGTGAGTGTTTCCTTATTCTAAATCTGACCAAGTTAGATAATTTTTCTGTCGGATTTTCCAGGCTTGCTTATCTTCGTGAGTCTATAGAACCAAAAGTCGTCTGGTGGCTTGGTATTGGGGGTGACTCGTGACCACGAGATTATGGATTCAAATCTTTGACGTCTCTGAGTCTTACTTGTCACACATGATTCGCTTAGCGTGACTTGTCTTATCGGATTTAGTTTGTAGACTATCTGGTTTGGCCGGGTTACCCAGAGCGTACTCGAAGAGTAACGGGTACGGGTATAAAAGAAATATCGTCCATCGCGATATAAAATCCAGAAACATCTTGATTGATGACGAGTTCAATGCGAAAGTTTCCTACTTTGGCTTGGCTAATATTTTTTTATTTTTTTTGTTGCTTTCCGTGATAGTATTTTTATTTTTTATTTTTTATTTTAGAGTGTGTTTGTTTTGTGAAAATAATTTGAATAGATATTTTTTATGTGAGATAGAAAATATAAAAATAAGGAATGTAATATATTAATATTTTTAGAAAAATATGAAAAAAAAAACAAACTCTTAGTTATCATAAATTTTTTAAATATTGCATTATTTCCGAAATTATATATTAAGAAAACAATATTTTCTATTTTTTTTAAATAAATCTTATTAATAATTTTAAAATTATATATATTATTTATAGTTTTTCGGGGATGTTGGCGACAAAATTTTATAACATTAAATATAGTTATTTATAAGATTTGCCGCAGACTTCCTCAATAATATTTTTAAATAGATAATAAAATAAATTGTTTGATAGTTTTTAATTATTATAATTTAAATATTAATTTACAAAATAAAATGATTATAAGTTTATCATCCTAACATAACTTTAAAAATAGATATTATTATTTTTTAAATAACAAAGAAAATTAAATTAATAATAATTAGAGTGCATCAATTTAATCATTGAAAAAATAGTATATTTCATATTGTATTAAAAGTTATGTGATTTTACTTTTAATTTTTAAAACATCAATATAAATTAAATTCAACAATAATTTTACTTTTTTCAAAAAAAATCATTTTCAATTTTATATATATCTACAATATTCAATAATATATAGATTTTAAATTTACAGAAATTAACATATTTTTCCACTATAAATATGTTCAATAAATATGTATATTCTTAGATATATATATATATATAATTTATGTTGTTAATAATATATTTTAGACAATACTCTATTGTCTCTTTCGTTAACATTTTGCGTCATTTTATTTAATATTAAAAATATTTTTATATTTAAATTATTGATTCTTGGTTCTTTAGGTAAGTTATTTAATGTGGTTTTGCTTTTGACCATATATTGTATTTGAAATTTTTTTTAATTAGTGAATTCCTGCGGTCTCTGCTCATGGATGTAAAAATTTGTCCAGAATCACATAAATTTGTATCTCTTTAATTTTCACATATTTAGAATTTAAGATTTTTATCGTATTTTGTCTGTTGATATTAGAGCTTTAGTTTCGTCTGGGTTGTCAAATAGTGTAGTCATTTGATTTTGAATGCTTCTTACTCTATGGCGGCAAAATAGAAAATTGAAAAAAAAAAGAAGAAGGATGGCAAGAATAATTTTGTGATATTGGTTTGGCTTGGGATGTCGCAGTCATGGACGATTGGATTAGTTGTAGGAATTCCTAAGCCCTCGTTGATCTTGTGATTGAGAATTTGTGAATATTGTTGTGTTGAAAGTCTTTATGATATTGTGATGATTGAATTGTTGTGGTTATGTGGCGTGCTCCTTTAATAATAAAGGTGATACACGATGTTTGACAGATTAAATAGAATATTATTGGATCAGAGACCATAAGTACTCTAATCCTTGGGTTAGTTTTGTCTGAATTGTTCGGTAAAATTATTTGGATTATGGCGGGTTAAGACATCTGTGTCATTTAGAGTACATATACGAAGGTGGAGTTTTTTGGTATTCAAATTCAGAAATTGTTATGACTTAATTAATTTCATTATGTGATTGCCTTTAAATGAATATTGAAAAATGTGCCATTGTTGAATTCACTTGTTTGGAATTTGATAATTTTAAGTCAACACGAAAATTTATTATTTTATCGTTTGAAATCGAAAAGTTCGATCATTTCAAATCTAGATGGAGGTTTCTATAAGAAAATATCATTTATGTAACGAGATTTTTTTGTCATTAAATTCACTTTTTCCGTTACTAATGATATTAGAGACGGAATTCCGTTACATATATACTATTTTTTTTTTTTTTTGTAGTGTTTGTTATTTTCGACTTGAAATTAAGCCCATTAGTTTAAGTCTAAAATAAAGTTATGGTTAAACCCTTCATTATATGTATATATATTGATAGCTAAAAAAAAAAGAAAGGAGAAAAGTAAATAGATTTGTTAGAATCATCATGACCGCTAATGTAAATTTATATACTCTCTTTGTCCAAATACAATAGTTTTATTTATCATTTTTGTCTGTCTCAAAACAATATTCTTGTTTTCATAAATAATCATATAGCTATAAAACTACCCCTACGTTTTTATTTTTATTACACAATTGTCACTACTTTTTACACTAATACACTCACAAGGATGAAAAAATCTTTTATTCATACTTTTTACCAATTATCAATATAATATCAATATTCATTAAATTCCGTGTCCATTGCAACACTAATGACGTTGACAAAATTGGTGTTGTGTTGCTAATTCTTCTGGTCTACTCCACAAATAAGATTTGATTCTATCTCTAGTTTCAAATTAGATTTGGTTCTATTTTTGAGTGTTTTTTTAGTTATTGATTATTGGTTTTTGGGATGTGATTTTACTTTTGGCCATATATTGTATTTGGAACTATTTTTTGTATGTGAGTGTAAATATTTATTCTGAATTACGTAAATTTGTCTTATTGACTTTCGCATATTTAAAGTTAAAGATTTTGTCATATTTTATCGGTTAGACTGTCACAATAATACTTAGTTTTATTATACTCAAAATAATTTAAATCTTTAAAACACTCCTAGAATATTAAAAAAAGAAAAAGTTCAAATCAGAAGGGATTTTAGATAATTGGATGTGGGTTTGATATTTTGATGTATCTAAACCAATTAAGCATTTCAAATAAAAACGATTAGCTTGAGCCAAATTGACAAAAATAAATAAATAAATAAGAAATTGTATTATTGGGGTGGGCAGTAATATCTATCTGGAGCAGGAGTAGAGTAGAGTAGAGTAGAATAGGAGGCAAAATGGGGTTTTAGGACCAACCCAATTTAATAAAACTGACTGACAATCTAATCTTGTACCTTCACATCAAGTTTCGAATTTAATAGTCCCTCGTCCCAAATATCATCTCTGCTACACTGTATCTCTCTTGTATTTTAAGAGAGATGTAATTAGTAAATAATTAAAAATATATTAGTAAGATAACTAATTAGTTTAATTAAAATTAACTAAAATAAAATTAAAAAATTTAAAATGAAATTAAAGTGTATAATCATCTCTAAAAAAGAAAAGTGACATGATAGGAGGAATAAAAACGTGGACATATATATGGAACGGAGGGAATATTTTATTATTATTATTATTATTATTATTAAATTAACAATTACACAGCCTGAATTACCTGCTGCAAGTTCAAAGTTCATGTGAGTTGTGAATCAACTTCACATAATCCAAATACATACATACGTATGAGTCACAGTCACTACGTATTTTTATTAGAATTTTAAAATTCTATGGCGGGCCCGCACTCCAACTCATTCATTGTAAGATTTGGCTGTATTAGCAGCGGTATATAATATTACCTCAGTCTCGGATATTTTTTCCGATTTATTATAGACACGATAATTTAAAATAGAATATAATTAGAAAATAATTATAAATTAAAATTAAAATAACCGATTAATATAATTAAAATTAATTAAATTATAAATTAAAATTTTTAAAATACGATTAAAATTTATAATTTTTTTTCCAAAGTAATATACCAAGATTGAGGAGAAGAATAGAATAATAGAAATATATATATATATATATAAATAACACGTCAGCATGTGTACATCTCTACCAAATTGCAATAAATTTAATGAGGCGAATTTGGATTATCTAATGTGAGCATGTGGGATGGATACTCGTCTCATCTCATCTCATCTGCTGGATTATATTATCATTCAATTTCAATTTATATTATTAAATCAATCGAAATGGGGCCACCATGCTGCTACTTCACGTGTGTGCCGTCTATGCCTCTTCCAATTTTTCTACAACCATATATATATATATATACTTAATAATTTATTAAGGCAGCTTATTGTGAATTTGCAAGATATAAGGCTGTAGAATATAATAGAATGATGAATGTGTAGTGTACCTTATTATTATTGTTATTATTATTATTATTATTATAAAGGGAAAATCTGTATCTGCTATCTTTCGAATGCGCTTCGACTAAATTTTCGATTGAATTTAATCATTTATAAACTAAGTTCGATAAGACAAGTCAGACTAGGCGAATCATAGGTGACAGACAAGATCTAGAGAAGTCAAAATTATTACGAGTCCATCATCACAACACCAGACTATCATTTACGGGAATATATTAGTGTAACTTATTATTATTATTTTTTTTATCGGAAGTGTAACTTATTATTATTATTTTGATAATATGAGAACCCATAGTCGCTATCCGAAAGTGCAAACTGTGTAAATCTCCGGTCGAATTTAACACCTTACAAATTAAATCCGATAAAACAAGTCATACTAGGCGAATCCTGTGTGGCAAGTAAACGAATTGTAACTTATTATTGATATTGGAGCAGGTAGTGAAGAAACATATGCCTTAGATTACCTACCACGTATGATTCGCCTAGTGTGTCCTTAAAAAAAAAAAAAAAAAAAAAAAAAGAAAAAGGTAATAGTAGACAGATAAAAGAATATATTTTATTAAGGCACAAGGGAAGGGATTCTTCCGCTTTGCTGTGGTGGCAGTGGCGGATCTAGAATTTTGAATTTAGTATTAAATTAAAAAAAAAATAAAAAAATAAATACATTAAAAAAAGTTTATATTAGAAAATACGAAACTTCAAATTAACAATCTTATATATCAAAATAGTTACATGTGTTTACGACGAGATCCTCTATTTTGGTATCGTCTGATAATAGCATCTGTATTAACTTTCGTAAGCACATCTCTTTCTAGAAAAATAACGAAACAATCATTTAATAATTACTCTTTCATATTATTCCGTAATTTTTTCATGATGATAGTTATAGTTGAAAATAATCTTTCTACGATTACAGTTGCTATTTTTTCATTGTTTCGACAAGTTTCATAAAACGTTCATTTAGATTTTTCAAAGCTCAAGATATTTCATCACATTTGAACATCAATAATGAAATTACCTAATAATAACTTGAAAATCATTAATTTTGCTTCTGAAAATTTTATATGATATAATTATGCAAGTAGTTGCAATATTTTTTTACTAAAAGAGGAAAAAAAAACAAAAAATCAATCATTCTTTTAGTGGGCTTGTTGAAACCTTCACTAATTTATAAAATAAAAATAGAATTAATATTTAAGGATATAGTTGTAATTTTAGTGATAATTAATATTATTTTAATGGATCTTGTCTAATACTGCATCCGCCCCTGTATATATATGTATGTATATCCATAATTCATTCCGCACTGTCGATCTGTTTCTTTAGGTTTGATTTAAGAAGTTTTGGTTTAAAATTTGTATTTAAATAATATTTAATTAAATATTTTTGTAATTTTTTTTTGAAAAAAAAAATATAGAATTTAAAAATAATAGTAAAATTTAAAGAATTTTTGTTAAAGAGACACTTTTATTTCTGAAAATTTATATACATACATGGATGGGTGGCAATCAATCAATCAATCCATCTGCATGATCAATTCAAATCGATGAACCAAATGAACATCTCTCTCTACTAATCACAAATCCCTTAGTCATCACTCTACACTACTACACTAGTGTCTTGATCTTAACAATATTATTTCATCCTATTAAATTATGTAGATTTAGTTGGATACGAGACTAAAATGTAATACTCCCTCCGTCTTGATACAAAATTGTTGTTTACCTTTTGCATTTAATTTTTTAATATTAGTATTATAATGAGTTACAGTAAAAAAGATGAAAATACCCCTGTTAGCCTGTGTAATATAAAAGTAATCACATTTGTGTAATATAATGTAAGTTGGAAGGGTATTTATTATGTAGACAGTACAATTACTAAATTATGAAATAGTAATCTTTGTTTTGAGACGGACGAAAATAAAAAATAACAACCTTTCAATGGGACGGAGGGAGTAATTTTTTAACGTTAAAATAAAATAGTTAATAAATAAACAAGAATATTATAAAAAAATATTAAATAATTAATTAAAAAAGCAGTGAGCAAATAGAAAATATAATAACAAAATTGATTATTATTTATTAAAATAAAATTAATAAATTGTGGACCTATAAATTATTTATTATAAATAAATTATACATAAATTCAAAAAAAAATAAATAATAATAATATAATTTTGATCATAAAGAAAATAACATTCACTATTTTGTGACAGTAATCCAACAGTAGTTATTTTTTGTTTTGGCAAAAAGAAAGCAAAAGCACCACATTTTAAAAAAGATGCACTGAATTGAATAGAATCAAATCAAAGAAGGTTTTGGAAGAATTTATGCCTCTAAGCTACCTTCCATGCCCTGCCCTACCATCACACAAAAATTAATCAGCTCTCTTGTGTTCATTGCCACAGTAAAATAAAATAAAATAAAAAGAGAACATGGGCTCCTCCTGCATAATCATACTAATAATAATTATAATAATAAGGTGGAGATCAATTACACTCAATCTTGGCCCCATTTCATATCATGCATATATGAATGTGTGTGTCTCTGTGAGACTCAAGTCAACTTGAATAAACAGGCAGGCAGGCAGGCTTACTTGCTCATCAATGTATATAATTAATTATTTATTATCATCACAAGAGTGTGTGTCTGTCTTCCTACCACTTTTTACAGATCCCACCATTATCAATTGTTAAATTTCATTTCTTGAAAAGAATTTGCCTTACGAATCATCATCATCATCATCATCATCATCACTTCTTGCTGCACTTCACCAAAAGGCAGAGGGCATTTTAGTAATTGCAGCACTGAAATGTATGGCACTGGCACAGCTCCAGAGGTAGAGGTTTGTGTATTCAAACTAAGTGCTGAAATCAAATCAGTTTTTGAATTAAAGAGTGTAGTAAAGGGAAAAAGCAGCAGCAGAAGATTATGTTGTAGTTTCATTTCTTACAACTTGAGTTGCACAAAAAGAACCCAAAAGAAAAAAACAAGTGAAAAAACATAAAAGAAATCAAAAGCACAACAAAACAAGCAAAGAAAGGATCTCTAAATGTTGAATGGTCTGATTGATGATCACAAAAAGAAGGCACTGTTCATACCCTACACTAGGCTGTTGTTCTTGCTGTTGTATCTCTCTCTCTCTCTCTCTCTCTCTCTCTCTCTCTCTAATTTACAGTGTTTTCAAGGCAAGTGAACATTGATGGAATTGGAATAATGTGCAGCTGTGGATCCAGGGAATTTACCTTTCTTGGACCACAGCCATATTTTCGACACAGAAAAGCTTTCACCTTTAGCTCCGTTAATTTTCTTGCAATCAGCATCACCAGCAGCATCACCAACAACACCACCTGGGAAATTCCCAATTTGCCCCCACGATCTCCCTTTACTCACAGACCGTACATCACTCCCACCACCACCACCAGGGCACAATGCAACTTGCAGCTGGTCTGAATCAGCCACCACATACTGAAACGAACCCATGGAATAGCACCTCCTGGCATCCAGATTGCTGTTGCTGCTCTCTCCAACTTCACTTTCTTCATTCCCATTCGTGTTCTTGAATTTCCCAAGCCTCACAGAAAACACCCTTTTCTCATTCACAGCAGCAGCAGCACTGCTGCTGTTGATGTTGTTGGTATCATCTTCACTGAGCTTCACCCCAACAAAACCACCTGGATTTCCTGACCCCCCATCCTCAGATTCCTTAGAATCTCCGAAGTAAAAAACCGGGTTCTCAAAGGAGAATCCCTGGGACAAAATCACAGCCCTGCAAAGCGGGCATGTCGAATTTGAGAGCAGCCATGTGTCGATGCAGTCAATGTGGAAGGCATGGCTGCAAATGGGGAGCAATCTCAGCTTGTCCTGCTCTGAAAATTCACACAAACACACTGCACAATCGAAGGGCTCCTTCAACCCCACAATATCCTTGTACATAAAAACTGGGAGGGCATCAATGCAGGCCTGATCCAGACCAGAGTCATGGAGGTGGAAGAGCTGCTGCAGCTGCCTCTGGAAAGCACCTGAAGTGGACATTTCAGGGTAGCCATGGGAATGGGACTGTGGAAAGTACCTCTGCTTCAATAGGAACCTTATGAGCAAGTGCAGCAGCGCAGCAAGGAAGAAGACTACAGCTAAGACCACTATGATGAAGAGGATCACAGGGCTTATTCTGCTCCCAAAGGCTGATTGGATCCAAGACATCTTATTATTTGATTTGATTTTTTATTTTTTTTGTTTGGCTACATCTGATGGATCAAATCATCAAACACGGGTTTCTTGCTTTCAATAGGTGTGGGGTGGGGGGTTGAAGTGGGGAGAGATTCTTACCTAATAAAAGATGGCATAGAAATCACAGATGTTGTGAGGAGGCAGAAAGAAAGAGCCCTCCCAGCCCCTCTTCATATTCTTGGTGGCATGAATGCTAACAAACCTTAAAGATATGGTGGACCAAACAGCTCTGCGCATGCTTTTGACAGGATTTAGTTCACCTACCTACCCATCCTCTGAAACCATCAATTTTCATGAAATTTGTAGTCTATCTATCTATCTATCAGAGAAGAAGTAGAAGTAGGAAGGGATGCAAGCAAGAATCAAGAAAGTGGGAAAGGGGAGGGATTTATACACTGACACACTTCCTTTTCTTTCCATTTTTCTTTTCTGTTTTGAATTCTTTATTAAAAGGGTTGCCAAATGCTTGCTAAGTCAAGGCCCAAAGGGGCAAAGAACATCTCTTAAAAGCTACAGCAGAACCCTGCATGAGTTGGGTTGGGTTGCTACTTGCAACAATATGTTGAAAGGTATTAAATTAAATTAAATACTTCTAATACGAAATACTTTTCTGGGCTCTTGATACAACATAGATGAAAAGGCTATTAATAGTTATTGTTTGCTTTTTCTAGATTTTTTGGGTTAATAATTTGCATCTAGTTATAGCCAGCCAGTATTTTATTTGCACTAAACCTGGTGTATATTTGTGGATTCACAGTTTTAGGTTGCCTGATTTCCAAGAGATTAGGGTAATAGAATGAGTTGCCCTCAACCACCAACTCATTACAGTATAATCGCTTTTTTGGGAGGACCACCTTATCTTATTACTAAAAGGAAAAACCAAATTAGAGATTATGATGAAAAAGGGGAACCTTTATTTCAATGGCTATAATGAAAATTATTTGTTCTTATTTGGGTTTGAGAGCTCTCCATGCTTTTCTAGTGTCTGAACCCACTAAATCAAAATTACTACATTATAATTTCTTAATGGGCTCAGTAAGATGTCTCAAATATTTTTTGGGACAGGAATTCAGCCCAGGTGATTTATTACGTACTATTTTAAAATCATTCTAAAATGCCAAGATTACTAACTAGCATGTATATGCATAGGTATGAATCCAAGACCGTAGCCCAAATATGATGTCCGAAACCCTGTAACTGTAGTTTATATGTATGTATTTGTGCATATATATATATATAATATTATACATATGTATAGATAGCTATGTGGATATATATTCAATCCAACATAAAGTAAAGTTGGAATGCAAAAAGGAGGAAGGAGGTGGAAAGTGTTGAAAAATGGGTTGTTGCTTGGATTTGATTTTGATTAATATTGATTACAAATGATCCGAACAAGCAACAAATTTTGATGACAAACGCGATTCAATTTGAATTAAGCCCAATCAAATAAAAAGGTGGCCGAAATGTTAATCTTATTCAACTTGATTAATAATGTGTTACTGTGGAAGATGAAGAATCTTTAAGCTAATCCTCATTGTCAAAGTGTATGAAATTGGTTGTAATTTGCTGTAACAACAATGAGTGAATGAAGATAGTGTGAGAGTGAGATTCACATTCCTTTGTGTGTAAAGTTTTTTAGATTGATATATTTGTAAGTGAGAAGATATGACCGAAGCGTGTGGAACATTATGCTAGTCTCCAAGGAAAACAACGAGAGATTGTTGAATATTGAGAGACTAAGAATAGGGTGGATACGTTTTGGGTCGAAGGAACATCAAGAAACGAATGTGTTGATTTCTTGAGGTATGTAACTTGATTGTATACATATGTCCTTGTACTTTAATAGTTTACGATAGTGAATCACGTCTGGGTTGAAACTCCTCAAATATAGGTTGTTGACAACCGAATTGAGTTATCAATTTTGTTAAGTGTTTTCTGTTCTTGTCGCCACTGGTACGTGTATTTGTTATCTTATATCAGAGTGAACCATTAGTCTTGTGTCGTGAGAATCTTCTATTTTTCGTTTTTAGTGCTGAAATATTGTTGATGTTTGGTTTTAATTAATTTTGGGGCCAACAAAATGTTTCCATTAATTAGTACTGTGGATTCACATATGGCAACCATACATATACATATTATGAATGTAGCTACTATGTATAATTAGAGCTGACAATTAGTCGATTTGTGTTGGGTTCGTATCGGGTTGAATACTTTAAACTGGTTAAATAACTCAATCCTAATCTGACCCGTTTATTATCGTGTCGGGTTCGTGTTGACCTGTTTATTGTCTTATTGGGTTCGTATTGAACCGTCTTACCCGTATACATAATTAAATTGAATCCTTAATCAAATTCAATAATTCTTTTGTCATTTGTCGTGTTATGTTAATTTTGTTGTTTCTAGTGTAACGCGCACATTGAATTAGGTCGAATTATTTAAAATTGAACTTAAGGTTAAATTAATATGTTAACTAATTATTAAATTATAATTAATTTATATACATAATAAATATATGAATTAATATTAATATATTATAATCGGATTGTCGTTCGAAATCGAGTTGAAAGCCTTAACTTTAACCCGACCCGTTTATTATCGTGTCGGATTCGTGTCAACTCATACACATAATCGAATTGAAATTCTTGACCCAAATCCATTTAATTTGTGTCGTGTCAGGTCTACGACATATACATAGCTTCTCATTGGACTTGGAGTTGAAAAATGTTTGGTTAAAATTTTATTGAAAAAAAAATTATGAAAAAAGATATAGTGAATGAAATATAGTACATCATTGTGTTAATTTACATTTGCTATTTTATGTATGATTTGAAGTTACTTGACCGGTATATTTTTATATTCTTACTAATATTTCTATTACTATAATCGGTAATAACTTAGTTAATAATTTCGTTAAATTATTATTTTATTAAAATAGTTGTCAGTAATTTTCATCATATATGTATACTAGAGGGGAGCCATGCTCAGTAATTGTGATTAAATCTTATTGAATTATTAAAATTAATTATTTTTATAATTATATAATATTTTAATATGAAAATTGTTTGAATAAATTAAAATATTTTATATGATCAATTTTTAATATTCTAAATATTAGATATTGATAGATTTTATCGATTAAATAAATATATTACAAAAATGATGTCTATATATAATATAAATGGTGTCTACTCATTTTTATAAATAATTTTAAAATTATAGTTTAGTTGAAATTTATATTGACCAAATATTTAAAATGTTTGAACAAAGTTAAAGTTAAATTTTATTAACTTGCCACTGTCATTTTAATATAATTAAATTATAAAATATTTTTCCAGTTTGGAATAATTACATTATATTTTTATCCGTTAAACTCATGTATAATTTATTTATAATTAAAAAAATTATGCACTCATAATTGTATTATCCTTTTTTAACTTGTTTGAGGGTTTGGATTTGAGTTGAGATTTGAATAGTAAAAATTTTGAATTTGAATAGTTGCATGATATGATATAAATATGTGTTGATGTGATGTTTTGAATGTATAATTGATTTTTAATATAATATAAAAAATAAAAAATAGGTATTTGATTTGATATTTTTGGGGAAAAAATAAGATGAATAGTAGATTTAAAATCCAATCCCCCAAACAAACACACTCGAAATGTTTTTTCCAAAAAAATATCAAAATATATACTACCTCCTTCCATTTACAATGTTAATTTCTATTTTTTACAAGTTAATATTTGAATATTAATTATTATATAAAAACGTAGTATTTATAATGTTAACTAAAATGAATGTAAATGTAAATATAAACTTATTAAGTGGATAAAGAGAGTATTTATTTAATATAATACTCCCTCCGTCCCGGCAAAGATGACCCATTTTATTTGTCTATTTCACTTTATTTATCTTTTTATATTTGGAAAATAAAATTATAAATTTTTATTATATTATAAATTTTATTATTTATTAATATTTTTTAATCTTAATTATATTATTTAATTATCCTAATTTTAATTTATAATTATTTATTATAAAATAATTATTTTTACTAATATATTTTTTAATTACTTACTAATTATATTTCATTTAAATTAAAAAGAGGGTAATAAATATAATTATAGTATTTTTTATTCTTAAAGTTGAAAATAATATTAAAAAATATTTAATTTATATTTAATATTAATTAGTTATTAATTATATTTTAAAATAAAATTTATATATTTCATTAAAAATAATAAAAATATATACATAAAATATTTATAATAATTTAAAAACTTAAAATATTACATTTTATAAAAGTAAATATAAGATATTATATTTTTTTATTATATATAAAGTATTATAATATATTAAAGATATATTTAAAAAATATATGTTATACCCCATCCGTTCCGTTAGAAGGTTACCGTTTATTTTTTGCACGTAAATTTTTTAATATTAATATTATATTAAGTTGTAGTATAAAGGACAAAAATACCGCTATTAGCATTGTGTAATATAAAAGTAATGACATTTGTGTAATATAATGTAAGTTTGAAGGATATTTATTATGTTAGGTAGGTAGTACAATTACTAAATTAGAAAATAATAACTTTGTTTTGGGATGAAATGAAAAATGACAATATTTCATGACACGAAGGAATTATAAAATTTGTATTAAATAAATCAATAAATTTGTGAGTGAAAGAGAGGAAAATTTTAAAAATATTATTTTAGGTTCTACAATATGAGAAAAGAACTTAGGGTGTGTTTGTTTAGGGGATTGGATTTTAAATTCGCTATTTATCCCATTTATCTGCCAAAAAATCAAATTAAATATCGATTTTTTATTTTTTATATTATACTAAAAATCAATTCTACATTTAAAACATCACATCAACACCTATTTATATCATCATACAACTATATAAATTCAATTTTTTTACTATTCAAATCCAAACTCAAAATCCAAACCCCCCAAACAAACACACTCTTAATGGATTTTTTAAATTTTCTTAAGTTGATATCGCGTGATGTGGCATCAAGAGAAATATAAGAACTGTTCTTATATCATTTGCATTGTGAATGGTCTAATCATATTTATTATGTTAGGTAGGTAGTACAATTGTTTTAAAAAAAAATAGTACACTTATGTTTTAGACCAATAGAAATAAAAAATGAAACTCTTTTTATAAGATGAAGTAAGTATCAAAATTCAATATTATTTACTAATTAATTATTACTATCTCAAATATTATGTCATTAATAACAAATATCAATTATTCCAAAATAAAAATAATAATATAATTGATTTAATTTAAATATTAGTAATCAATCCACATAAAAAAATAAAATAAATAATCTCTGAATTCAAACAAAAATTATATATTACTAAAATTATTACACATATATTATTAAATTATTAAACATGAACTCGACATAAAAAATAAAAAATTAATAATAAAACGAGAATGGAATAATACACCATTTAAATTGCATATATTATTATATTATTATTACAGGTGGAAAACAGAAAA